CCTGAGCTCTCAAGTGACCAACTAGTGTTACAACCAGCCCTCGGGAATAAAGTGAGTTCACAAGTCAGGGGCCCACTCTACTGGCTCAAAAGACCAAGTGATTTTGTGAAGTTATTCAGACAACTAACAGAACAGCAGCTCTTCGATGCTAAATTTCACTGCTTGCTGAGAGAAGGAAATAACAGCCCTTCCACTTTAGTTATTGCAGGGTGAAATAAATAAGCTGCAACAATACTTTTGTTGAATAATTGAGGACCACAATCAGTCAGAAAGGTTGTTTCCATCATTCCCTATTAAAGGAACTTTCTAGAACTAGCCAGCTGTTATCAACATTGGCCTTATGTTCCACCTCAAGTGTGAGGTAGGTGTGTGTGTGTGTGTGTGTGTGTGTGTGTGTGTGTGTGCGTGTGCACATGCGCCTGGGGATCAAATCTTGTGCTTGTCAAGGCAAGCATTCTACCACTAAGCTACATCCCTGCCCCAATTTGTTTTTCAGTTGTCTGGAATTCTGAGTTCCAGAACTAGTATATGTCACTGGTGACATGGGAAATAGAGAACTTCTACGGCTGGGTCTGTATGAGCTGGCCTCACACACCCCGTGCTTGGGCATGGGTATGCTTGACCTTTTCACTACAGAGAGTGCAGAGTCATGGGAACATTCACTCATAGCTTCCATACCTCATTTTGGACATGGATGGTCCAATACTTGTGTGGGCTTAGGAAAACAAACAGGGATCATTTTGAAACAAGCACATTCTATGTAGGGGTTCTGCCCATTACATGTTCCTCTCAGTGACTATAGTAATACAGCACATTGTTCAGAAGGATTACTGTGTACTTTCCTTAAAAAATAAAAGCAAAACTGCCACACTTTGCTTTTCACAGTAAGAGCAGGACAGTTTCAGGTATAAGTCGCTCAGTAATGTCGGAGAGATCACAGTGCTGGGAAGGTTTTTCAAAGGGTTATCTCATCGCCATTAACTTAACACTTATAAAATATTTATTGTCACATATATGTTCCTTAAGACATAAACCAAAATGGTGCTGGGGTGCAGCTCAATGGAAAAGGCTGTGCTTAGCATGTGCAAGGCCCCGAGCTTAATATCCTGAATCAAAACAAATCAACAGGGGCAAAGTCATCACACACATAATTCAAATTACTGAAACTTTATATTAAAAATTTATGTAGAAGACTTAAAGCTGGCAATACCTAATTTTAAAAACCATATCTAAATGATTTCTCCTTGGGAAGTCTAGCACTAATCCATTTGGAAGGCAAAAATACACTGTATTCCTGGCACTCTTGTAGGAATAGGGCACACAAGGGCAATCAAGAACAATAAATGGAACTTATGTACTATGTAAGGGGGAAACAAGAACAAACAAATTAACATTATCATTTAATATGTCATAAGTAAGCCCTGTGGACAGTGGAGAGGAGACCGAGTGCTGACATCACACACGAGGGGCAGAGATTCAGATGGGGCTTTTGGAGATAATTTCTATGACAAAGTAACCTGTGAGCTTCAGCCAACAGTGAGAAGTTCAGGGGCCTCACAGCTGCAAAGGCAGCAAAGTAGTGGACACATTGACTGTATCCAAAGGTAAGGAATTATGTTACAATGATCAACCCCTCAAGGGCCACTCCTTGTTCCGTGGGTGTTAACTCAAGGCCTCATTTGTTTCAGGTGTGCTTTAACTGAAAAATGTCCACTGAGGGTGGTTGAAGAACTCTTTTGACATTGGGAGACTCAACATCTTGTGTCCAGTCTTTGGCATTTTTGATATTTGAAAGACAGCCTGTTACTCTTGTATGAAAAAGCTAGGCTATATTAATTGCATTATTCATATTATCTAACCTCCAGAATGTGCTTCTGTGTACAAATGTGGGATATTCATATGTTTCTGTCTACATGTTCCTAAGATTCCTAAATTTTTAATTTTCTCTTTCCTCTAAAATGGTTGTCCTGGTCTGGGGATTTAGCTCAGTGCTTCTGCTGCTTGCCTTGCAAGCACAAGGACCCAAGTTTTATCCTCAGTACCAAAATAAATAAAATAAAATAAAATAAAATAGTTGTCTTCATGTCAGCAGTCAGTGACAAATTTCAATATGTCTGGTGCAAGAAACTAAGGTGATCTTTCAAGAATTCTGAGTCTCTATCACCATCACCAATGATTTCAAAGAACAACATCTTTCTCGGTGTCCCTGTGTCCAAAGTATGAATCACAGCCAAGTATATAAATATCCTAGTAATTATTAAGCTCTCTTCTTACACCAGTTGATACATTTTGTTATGTAGTTGTTTTCAGACCTACTATACAAGATCCTAATAGAAGATATTATCTTTTAATTATTATTTTTCATAAGGAAAAATTGATTCAATTTCACACAATCACAAAATAGTTTCTTATGCACTTAGCAACATCTCCCTTCTGCTGTCCCAGAAAGATTGCCCTAATCTTCATATTTTAAGACAAATTGCTATCAAAATGGTACTTATAAGCAATAAGGTTGCCTACTGAAATGAGTCGCCAAATTCATTCTAAAGGTGAAGTAAATTATTGAAGCCAGTGGTTTTCTGACCCCATTTCTAATAAGGTAGTGATGAAACCAAGGCCTCACACAGTGAGAAGCCATATGCCTTATGCATTTGTTTTAGAGTCTCTAGGAAGCTCAGAATCTAGGAGAAAGTTATTACAAGTTTTAATCACCGCTGTGCTTTAATTGTGAACTACAAGTTGCACATTTTTTAAAACTACCATGCCTTCAGAAATTAGAATATACATTACCATATCAACTTTAGAGAAATGTCTACTTAATCTGGGCTCAATTTAACCTCGTCACTGTTTATTTGAATGGCAGTAATGTCATTGAAAATCTATTTTTAAATGAGAATTCTTTGTTTTCTCTGGTTCTGGAAACCCGGGGACTTGCGACTTTAGGCAAGGGTTGTGTGACTGAGCCACACCGTCACCCTCACATGAGACTATTCACAAAGTTGTACGTAATTTAGGGGCAAATGGGACTTAGTTGAAAAAGGCAACATTTTAAAATTAGTTCTCAATTTTTAGTGGGGGATGTCAGTGAGTGGCTAAACATTATCTAAAAGCCAAAATAAGAATGATTAGAAGTATAGGGAGTCACAAAAACCCAAATAGGTAAATTATTGCAAAAACGTTTTAGTGAAAACCCATAGAATATTGGAAAACATTGTTAGAGTTATGGCCAGCAAGATCTACAAGCATATCTTCCAAGAAGGAATAATAATACATTTTTTAAAGAGAAATGACTTTTCAAATTTAAGTATTCACCAAAGAAGAAGCAGTAAGTTTTTCATATATATGAGTCTATATTTCCTCTCTGACCATCTTCTGTCTTTAGCTGTTTCCTCTTCACTCTCTCACATTCCTCCTTTTCACCTTTCTTTTCTTACACAGCAAGTAGAAAGCCTCTTGGAAGAAATTATCTAAAGAACTTGGATTCTGCCCTTTATCATCAGGGTGTTTTATTTTATTAAACAAGCTTGATCAGATGAGCCAAAACAAGATACAAATCCTAGTATGACAACTCTCGCATGCCTTTCTCCCTTTTGGATTGATTCTGTACATCATCTTCAGAATGTGGTCATGGAAAATGGGAGTTAATAGTGTCCCCCGTAGAACCCCTTAATGAATCCCTGTAACTATAGCTTCAAAGCCTAGGCCTCAAGTAGACCACCAAGCACCTCGTGCCACCATCCTTCTCACTGCTCGGGCCTCATCTCCAGAGTCTCCGCCTCCTTACTGTCCTCACCCAAGAGTTACGCTACTATTTAGCATTCTCTCCATACCTCACAGTATTTCTCATTGTTTTGATTTTGCTCATGATGTTTCCCGCTGGTTAGAACATGCTTACCCAATTTTCTTCACCCAGGTAACTTGAATTCATCCATTAAAACTCAGTTTAGGTGTCATCCCTCCCCAGCTCTTTCTAATCCCCAAAGTAGGGCTGACTGTCCTCATTCACTTCCAGCACATTCTGTGCACCTTTCTGTCATGGCACTTGTCACATTGCATTAAAATTGTCTATGTCCACAGCTGTCTCCACTACCAGAGTACAGAGCCCTCAGACTCTATTACTCTTGTGTCCTCAATCCAAGCACAGTAATAGGCACAAAGCCTCTCAATATTATCAACTGCTACTGGTGGAGTTCTGAAATGTGAGTGATGGATCTATCAGACTATTTTAAGCAATGTCATTAAGTACTTACCTCCTCTCAATTCCTTGTTCTAATATACACAAATCAAATTACTCCAAACTGCCGTACAATTTTTGTGACAGAGACTAGGCATCTCCCAGCCACCCACTGCAGGTGAGTTGATACAATATGATTATGTTGGGCCAAAACATTATAAGAAAGACTGACACGAGTTTTGTTTTGTTTTTTAATGAGCATGACTGACATATTGTATTGTGGCAATAGTTAAATTTTTTATATTTTCTCAGTTTACTCTTCTGTGGCAAATGTGCATCAACTTATGTCAAAATTTAACAGCTTAAAATAACAAATATGTATAAAGTTACAATTTCTGAAGGCTCAGAACCTGTGAGAAACTGAGCTGGTCAGTTGTGTCTCGTGTGTGTGTCATTAGACTACAACAAGCTAGAGATGAGTGGGCTGAAGGATGCAGTTGCAGTAATTTCAAGATGGTACCTGGACTGATAGATCTGCCTCCAAGTGCACACATGAAGTTGTTAACAGACTGCGTTTCCTGTGAGTTGGCTGGAGAGATGGACTCCTCACCGGGGGCGCGGCTCAAAACAGGGTAGTTCATCTCTCCAGGAGAAACAGATTCCAGAGCGAAAGAGCAGGTGGGTGCTCAGTCTGGAAGCTGTAATCTGTCATGATATAACACTGGAAATGATGCACTCTCACTTCTGTGTGCTGCTGCCACACAGACCAATTCTGGCATAATAGGGAAAGAAAAGATAAAACCTGTGAAAACCAAGATGGGGGCCTTTGGAAGCATCTTCAAAGCTGGTACTTGGAAGACGACATGTGTTGAGGGGGTGCGTAAAACTCAGAGAATGCCTAGACCATGAGTCACTGGGTGAAACAAGTTAAATAAGCAAGAAGAAATAAACTTTTGTTTTGTGAAGATAATGAAAATCCGGAGTTTATTTGTAACTGCAGCATAACCTAGTTACTCAGAGCAGCAAAAGTCTTCATGAAAATCTGTCCATAGAGAAGTCTGGGATGATTAAAGAAATGTGGACATTCTAGGACTTGAAAGAGTGATTTCTCACTATAAATGAAAACACGAATTTGACACGTTAGTGAGTTTGCTTAATGTAAGTCTGTCATCAGAGTAGTGGCACAATCAAACGGCCTTTGAAGGGCAAAGGTCATATTATCCCCTAATCCTACTCCCTTCAAGTTTAGGAAGCTGAGGAGTTTCCCTCATCAAACACACAGCCACCTGATTCACTCCTACTTTGCTCACATGAGGACGTTAAATTACTTCAAGTACTTGAGATTTTTCATGAAACGTTATCTATCTCATGAAGTTACATGAATGAGAGAAAACGTAACATTATCTGCTGAAGAGAAAAATACTATGTAATTTTATTAAAAACATATTTCTATGTGTTTACTACTGAAATTAAATAACTAGTACTAGTAAAAGAGTCAGTACTAGTAAATAATCAGTAAAATAATCTCTTAACCTTTTAGGAATTAAATACATATTTATTTTGAACAATTTGGGTTTTCAAAATTAAAAAAACAAAAGCAACCTTTCTTCTGATGAGAAATTTAATGTGATTTAAAATACTTATCCAGTCCTGTTACTTGGTTTAAACATCGCCAGGTCTGATGCAGTGATACACACATCCCAGCTATGTGGGAGGCTGACTCAAGAGAACCAAAAGTCAAAGCCCAGCCTGGGCGACTTAGGGAGGCCTTATCTCAAAACTGAAAATGAATAAATAGAGTACTGGAAATATGGCTCAGTGGTAGAGCATTTGTCTAGCAGGTGCAAGGCTCTGTGTTTAATCACTACCACCAGATTTACAAAAAGGAAGGAGGAAAGGAGGGGAAAGAAAGGAAAGCAAAGCAGAGCAAGGCTCACCTCCGGATGCGAACCGTGACAAAATGACCAAATTTAACCTAGAATCAGCTTCTCAAAGGGGAGCCGTGTGTTTGCACATTTCATCCAACAACATGGTGAAGGGTTCTTCGGTCTGTTTAAAGGTCTTTAGACCCACGGTATGATGTATCTTTTTTGCATGCATATATCCTTCTGTAGGAACCATATTATGTACCATAAAGATTCATCTGTGCAGTCAAATCAACAGAAAGTAACCTCTTTGTTTAAGAAAGCTTTTTAAATGTGTGATGGTAAGGGACACAGAAATAAAATCCAGAGATCTTTAGCTTATTTGAGGTCTCAAGTGTTTCTGTTCTCAGCCTTAAATCATGTCTAGCCAGAGCACCTTCATTAAAATAATACATGGTCACAAGTATTTAACATTTTTTCCGATGAGTCAGCCCCTACCCCCAAAAAGACAAAAAAAGACAAAAGGCTTTTTGGGGGCAGCATCTATTTTAACTCGAAATTTCCTCTTACGGAGGAACCCTAGCCAGGCCTTGATTAGCTTATCAAATGAGCTCATGCTCAGAGCTGAGGAACTGGAGTCTATCAGAGAAATAGCGTGGCGACAGGCCAGCAGAGCTGCGTAAACCATCTAGAGGGTACATCAAGCACTCTCACCTCCCCCTTTCCTTCTGAGCATCTCTAGTCAGGGATAAGAAGCTACAGAACAAGGAAGAATCAAGCAATAGAACAAGCATGGGCCATAGGATTTGATGACTCCATATTTAAAACAGTACTGCTATTTACTATCTGTCTAAACTTCAAAACAAGTTTAAACTTCTTCTGTTACATTCTCCTTATTGTAAAGCAAAGTGGTTTTTCTTCTGACTCTAAATTGGTCATGAAAGCAGAAAGCAACACTGTTACAATTTAGATCACTAATGGCCCCCAAGAGTCTCCTGTGCCCAGAGGCAGGTTTGGAAGGTGATGAAGTTAGGTGATGGTGCAGCTGGCACTTGTTAGGAAGTGGGGCCTGGCTAGAAGCAGGTCACTCGGGCGTGTGACCTGAAAAGGTAGGTGTCCCTCCCAGGCTCTTTCTTTCTCTACTTCCTGACCACCATGAGGTGAGAAACTTTCCTCAGCTCAGATCCTTTTGCTGCACCTTTCTGTATTTAAGTCTCCCCAACACAGACCAAAACTTCTGAACAGTGAGCCAAAATACACATCTCCTCCTAAATATGGGTGGTGGGTATTTTGTCCCTGTGACACAGAAAGTGACAAACACATATAGGTGTAGCCCAGCATAGAGAACCTGCCATATAGAAGTCAGTAAGTTGTCTCCATTTCCTTTGCAGAGAGGACACTTCATCTGTCCAACATCTTCTGAGCCCTGCCAGGGAGACCTGCTGAACCAAACTCAGCATCACTGAGAGTGTGGGAAACATCAGAATGCTACAGGGACAAGGACAGGATTTATTTCACTTGCAAAATAATATCAGCTGTAGATGTTTCTGAAATTGGAAGAGTTGAGTTAGAATTCAAGGATTTTAGAATGCTAACATAGCTGCAATAAAGGAAAAGGTAAAAATATAATTGAAATATAAAGCAATAACTCATATAAGTACACGATACAATTTATCATTTGTGACTCACTAAAATCAGAACAAATTTTCAGAAATTGAACATTGTATTTGATTTTCAGATTTGGCTTCTGTAAAAAAATATTTTTTTCTTTCACTTTCTATACATATTTTTTCAAACATGCAAAGAAACTCTTACATTACATTGTCAGTATTCCGTGTTAGTCTCATTATTTTGTGTCATACTAAATGTTGTTATCTATTAGAGAGCCATTTTAAATGTTATCACTGGAATTCTATTCAAGCCAGAGACATGATTTATTTTACGAAGTAGACCAAGTGTTTATGAGTTTAGCGAAAATATAAAGGTATCAGTTTAATTGCCATTTAGATACGTTTTCTACATTCTAGAATGAAAAATGAACATAAAGGCTAATGCCAATGCCACCTGTTACGTTCCACTGTCTATAATTGCCACCAAATCTTGGCCTACTTGCATAGTGTGTGTCCTTCTGGTCCTTTTCTGCTTTTGGTGTAGGAACAGATAAGTTTGCAAATCCCCCAAGCAACTAAATTGGAGATTAGAAGAAGCAGAACTGAATTGTCTTGCATGCTTAGGAGAAGCAGGATTACAACTCTGCCACTTTTACTTCTGTTCCTCCCACTCCTCAACTCCAGTGGACCTCACCTTTTATTGGGTACACCGTTTAATTGATGATATCCTTTAACTGAGTTAAATCAGCTGTGTATCTGTGTGTGTGTGTGTGTGTGTGTGTGTGTGTGCATGTGTGTGTGTTGACAGTGGGAGTGGTAGGCCAAATGGTTAACAGCTGCTTAAAAACTTTAACTACATGAGACCTGGTGCATGCTAATTTAAACTGAGAGAGAGAGAGAGAGAGAGAGAGAGAGAGAGAGAGAGAGAGAGAGAG